TATATATATATAAAAATATTTTTTTCTTAATACTAGAATTGTATCAGACAATTGCAGTAATAAACAGAGGCACAGTGCCATCTACAGGCTGCAGTGGCTTCTGCAACTAAAAAACTTTGTTGTTTTCCCCCCCGAGATAAAGGCTCCAACTTGCATTGGATCACCTTGTCATAGCTGACATATGGTTGAGGACCACTCCGATTTGGTTCCCAATGGTAGGTAGGGACTGGAGCTGGCGCAGACAACTGGGTTTTGATGGCAATCGCACAAAGTGTCAGCTGGTTGGTGTGAAAAGGGAGGACGTTTAGTAACGTATCCTCGGCACAGGAAAAAGTCATATCCAGAACGTGAACAGGAAGGGGTTCCATTGTTGTACGGACCGGTTCTGTGAAGGAAACATGGACAATTCTCTGATTGGCCCTTGGCAGGCCTGCGGATTACATTGCTCTGTATTATAATGGAGGGGGAGGATATAGAGCCGACTTCTGACTGCCAATGGGGAGATCTCCATCCTTCCATCCCTATAGATATCACACAATGCCATATACGTTACCAGAACACAGCAACACCGTCATCCCCATCCTCACCTTCACTATCCCAGCCATACCGGGCTCCTTACAGTTACTGTGATAGAAAAACGCTTCCTGGCCGACCTTCATTTGTCTCAGGAAGTTCCGAGCCTAGAAAGAGAGACGTTCATTGGTGGAGGACAATTATTATAGAATAGGGAGGCAGCGATACCCGTTTATCGGCATCAAGTACGAGTACTGATACTTTGCTGCCGGTACTCAAGGTACAGACACACTGCCCGGCTTCCGGATTTCCCGGGAAGCCGACTATGTCTGGCCGACTTCCACCCGAAGCCAATATACCAGCCAAATCAGCATGGAGCCGGCTTCCCACGCAATCAGGAAGCTGGGCAGCGAGTAAAGACCCGCCTCCCAGCTTCCCGATTGGCTGGGAAGCCAGTTCCATGTTGATTGCCTGGAAAGCCATCTTCCCAGCCAATCGGCATGGAGTCGGCTGTTCGGCCCACTCAATGCTGACTGGCTGGGAAGCCGGCTACCCAGCCAATCAGCACGGAGCCTAGCCAATCAGCATGGAGTCGGCTGTTCGGCCCGCTCAATGCTGATTGGCTGGGAAGCCGGCTACCCAGCCAATCAGCACGGAGCCTAGCCAATCAGCATGGAGTCGGCTGTTCGACCCGCTCAATGCTGATTGGCTGGGAAGCCGACTACCCAGCCAATCACCACGGAGCCTAGCCAATCAGCATGAAGTTGGCTGTTCGGCCGGCTCGATGCCGATTGGCCGGGTAGCCGGCTTCCCAGCCAAATCATCATCAAGCCGGCTTTCCGGCCAATCAGGAAGCCAGGAGGCGGGGTCATTACTCGCTGGCCAGCTTCCCGATTGCCGGGAGGCTGGCGCCATGTTCCCCTACGGCACTGCCAGTCAGAGGAAATCAGCAACGATACCAATACTAGTACCGGCGCACCCCTAATAATTACATTTCTAAGTAAGATATATATTATGTACATTGTGAATTCCCAGTGACAACATCCGCTCTGACCTGGTAATTCCGCACTCCGTCCCAGCATGCTCTTTGCTCAGGTTGGCCCTTCAAGTCTTCTATTCCGAACTGAAAGACATTCAGAGGTTGTATCAGTCATAACCCACCATGGAGGAACAAACACACCCGTACGGTTATCCCGGGATCAGAGGATGAAGGGAAATCTTCCAATGGGGACACGTGTTCCGGTGACAACTGTCTAAGAGGAGATTTGCCCGCACTCTAAAGCAGAGATAAAGGAAACCTCGGCACTACAGCTGTGATCAAAACTACAAATCCCATGGTGCATCTGTCTCTGGGAGCCATGTCTGTGGCTGTCAGAGTCTTGCAATGCCTCATGGGATTTGCAGTTCCAGAATAGCTGGAGTGCCGAGGTTGCCTATTAATGGTGCAAAGAGACTTCCCCGCACTTCCTGTTGTGTCTATGGGAAATTTTCCCCCGATGGGACACAGACAGGAACTGTGTTTTGTCTTCAGAAATCCCTTAAAGCTGAAGTTTAATCTGCTTATATTTCGCTCCTCCCCCATCAACATTTTTAAATAAGATCTTTCCGTATCGTATTTTATCATCGGGTCTCTGTGCTTCTCTGTGCAATGCAGGCAGATCATGGCTTGTGGGAGGGGCCGGTAGGGTGCTGTACTTAGCTTCCTGAAAGCATCACAGCACTGTGACTCAATATTCCTCTCAAGAACCCTCAGCCCTGATGCAAGCAGTGGGCCGGCTCATGGGAGGAGTTATGCAAATATCAGAACGCCTTGATGGGTGGGTGTCAGTGTGGAGGAGTGGGCGTTCCTAGGCAGGCTGTATTTGCATAGGTAACGCCCACACGTGATGCTGAGCCTCCATGATTGACAGAACTGAAATCCAAGAGAGGGGCGGAACGCAATACAGCGCCATCCTCAAGCCCCGCCATCTACCTTCATGTCCATTCCTTTCTCCATCCGGCTCTCCGGCTCAGATTTCATCAACCAATAACGATATTCCTCCTTCTGCTTCTCATTGGTCCCCGCCGACGCGGCCGCCTTCCTCCGCCCTTTCGCCTTCTGTCCTGTGCCGGAATCTTCCCCCGTGTCCTTCCGCTCTTGGGAATCTACCCAAATACAGAAAGGGGGGGAATTCTGTGATCACCACTTTCAGAAATCCCCACAGTTGTCAGCCCACCAAAGCAGAAGCAGCATAAGGAGGCGGCCAGCCGGGGGCCAACATGCAGCATGCTGATAGGAGGAGAGAGCAGAGTGATGGAGAAACGAGCCCAAACTTCTGCATAGGAAATTGACTTCTTGTCATTCATATTATAACCATTACTCTGATAAGTACTTGGATAGGTACATGGCCTGCTGCTTATCTGCTCACTGTCCATTACAGGCTGGGGGAGGAGCAAGACCTCCAAGTCTTACTCTACTGTAGTAGAAAAAAAAAACAGGTCTCCTGCCATGCCAGATAGGGCTGTGCTGGACTGCAGAGCTGTGCAAATCTCAGGACTGGATGGACAGAATTACAAACACCTCTATGTGTAAAGGTTGCAGACTGGCGCTGTCCCTGTGGCTCCCATTCAGCCACCCCATGGCAGACGGGTATTGAGCCCTCATCCCTATGTCTTACCCTCGGCCGGCGAGGCCGCCCGCTTTCTCTTAGTCCGCCGCATGGTTCACTCCGCCTGTGACACACAAAAATATAAAACGGAAATCACAACATGCCGTGACTACAAATACACAGAGAACAAAGCCAGGGCCGATGGAACTGGGATGGGGGAGGGAAGGAGGGGGTCACAGGTCCTAATGGGAGGGAGGTCATAGGCTCCTACCTACCACAGTACATTCTCTTATTAGGTGAAAATAGAGCAGGGGAAGAGTTTGAACCTTTTTCAAGTAGTTACTGCTGCCTTTGTCCCCCCGTGGAAATTTCTGCTCACTTCCTGTTCCAGAGACACAACAGGAAGTGGAGAAAGAAGGGAGCGGGGCTACAGGCAGAGGGTGCAAAATGAAAAAAAAAAAGCATTTCCTAATATCTAAAACCCTGGGCAGTCCAAGGAAAACACAAGCAGTCAATTACTATTAAAGTACACCGAATGTAATGTTTATGCATAATATATATTAAATAAAAAGTCAAAAACATCAAACAGTGTCCCCACTTCTATCCTCATTTCCCAACGTTACCTAACTATTACTTCTCCTTTAAGTCGTGCCTCCCTCAGCAGCCAATCAGCGCCCTCAAACATTGTGTCCCCCACCCACCCCTTCCACGCGCGGTGCTGGGTAATGTAGTCCTATGCAGCTCCGAAATAGTGAAGCGGTCGACGCAGAGGACTTCATTTCCCGTCATGCACTGCGTCGCGCTTTCCAAACATGGCGGCCGGTCTCAGAGCGGCTTCTCGGCTCTCCCGATGCCTCCGGAATGCTGCGAGCGGGCGGATGACGGTTCCTCGCAGAGGAATAGCCTCGGTGATAGATCGTAAGGACTTCTCACGGGGGACGGGGTTGGACAGCAGGAAGCGGAGCCACGGCGCATAGATTCACTGACCTCCTTGCGTTGACTGAAATGGTCGCTGCGCAGGGTCACGTGAGCCGTGTTTACTGTCCGCCATGCTGGTTAAGGGCAATGTCACATGACTGACTGTGATGTCACGTGATCCGCGGCTGTAGTGGGGGAGAAGTCAGGCCTGGTGGGCCCAGTTTATGTTTACATTTGGTGGACCACAAAGAGTTCATTATGTGAGGACCTGTGACATGAATAAAAAAATACAGCACAGTAAAAATAAATGGCAATTGTCAAATACATACATGCCTTTCCATGCAGGTTTACCTTATATTGCTCTTATACAGCCCCTCCCACTAGCCATGATCTGCCTGGATTGCACAGCGACCCAGTGATGGCATCACTGGGTCTAAAATAAGAAATGTCCAATTTTTAAACAAAAATAAGAAATGCGCACTTCTTCCTAAAAGAGAAAAATGTGCATTTAGTTATTTATTTTTCATTTCAGCCAGTAAAGCATTGCAACTGTGATCAGTAGATGGTGGGTGCGATGCTCTGGCTCCTGCAGACTCTTCCTTCTCTCCATGTCTGTACTTTGGGGTGGACATTCAGCTACAGCAGGGGCAGCCAAACTCCGGCCCTCCAGCTGTGGTGAAACTACAAATCCCCTAATGCGTCTCTCACCGGGAGTCATGTCTGTGGCTGTGAGAATCTTGCAATGCCTCATGGGATTTGTAGTTCCACCACAGCTGGAGGGCCGGAGTTTTGGCTACCCCTGAGCTACAGGGACAAGAGGAAGAACAAATGGACTAGTAGCATGGTGACATCACTGCACTTTGTATTCCATTGAGATGTAGAGGTCCCTCCTTCTGTCAAGGTTGTCACCCAGCTGGACTTCAAACATGTCTGCCTTTGTTCATGTCCATTACATTGGGGGGGGGGCATTAGTAGTCTCAGATGGAATATAACACTTCACAGGAAGTGACAAGGACACAGCGTTCCTGGCAGGATTAACAGGTATTTTCTGTACTTGCTGAAAATGTCATTAGCCTGAAATGAGAAAACAAATGCAGCCGCCACCTAGAGGGATCAGTAATAATATATTTTTGTTTAAAGGTTTAGTTATTGTGAAAGGACTTTGATTGTGCTTAATTGCCGCTTTGCCTCTTGTTGTGCAGCCTCCTTTGGCCTGACCGAAGAGCAGAAGGAATTTCAGAAGGTGGCCTTTGATTTTGCCTCCAAAGAGATGGCTCCGAACATGTCCTTGTGGGATGAAAAGGTGAGGACGGTGTCCGTTAAAGTGGAAATGAAGCCAAAGCTTTAGTATTTGATATAATAATGGCGGGTTATAACCCCTGTCAGCTGTCTTTGTCCCATCGAGAAGATTTACCTTCACTTCCTGTCCGATAGCCACAACAGGAAGTGAGAGAAAATCCCTCCAATGTGAGCGAAACACCTAGTGGTCACCAGTACTAGTGTCCCCATTGGAAGATCTAGTCCTGTTCTGGTGACAACCCACTGCAAAGTTGTTGTTTTTTTTGTTAATCCCAGCCCATCTATTTTAGTAAAAACAGGGATCCCAAACTGAAAGAAGCCATTTCAGGGAGGTGTCCTTCTCATTTCAGGGAGGTGCCCTCCCCCTCCCCCCATCCGCGGAGGGGGGTTAGGGGGGCTGGGAGAGAGCACCCCCCTGAAATGATGGCAGATAGCATAGTAAGCAATAGCTTCTTTGCTATCTGCAGGTTTTTTTTCTGATTTTGTTTTTAGTATTCTGACAGTTGCAGTCGTCAGAATATAAACAAAAAGGCATAAGAATGCATAGCTAGATTCCAATTGGCTATTGCACTTTGCAGTAGCAAACTAGCTATTGCACCCGCCCTCTGCTGCTTTCAATCACCAGAAGAGGACCTGATAGAAAAATTCAGGTCCACCTCTGCTGATTGACAGCAGCAGTGGGCGGGTACATTACCTAGTTTGCTATTGGCTATTGCTATGGATTTGTATGCCTTTTTGTTTCTTTTCTGACTGACGGTCGGGCCGCGGCTCCCGATGTCAGAAAAAGAAAAAAAAAAAACGATCGCAGGGAAAGGTTTATCTGCTCGATCGAGCAGATAAACCTTTCCGGGAGGAAGTGTTTCTCTCCCGGGCGGCCGGGAGCCGCTATCCAATAGTGGGAGACTCCCGGAGCGTCCGGGAGAGTTGGGATGTCTGTAAAAATGTGACATCACACAACGAACACTTTATTCCTCTTTATGAGACAAATAAAACAATACCAGTAGTAGGGAGTGAAGGCGTTACTGATACCCAGCGATCATTTCCCATGCGTCGCTTCTCCTCTGTCCTCAATAACCATTCGATTGTCTCCTCTCTATTCAGGAGATCTTCCCGGTGGACACGATGCGGAAGGCGGCACAGCTCGGCTTTGGAGGGATCTACACCGGCCCCGACGTTGGCGGCTCCGGGTTGTCACGTTTGGACACTTCGGTCATTTTTGAGGCCCTGTCTACGGGCTGTGTCAGCACTACGGCGTACATGAGCATTCACAAGTAGGTGTGACAGGAAGTGAGACGCAGGCTGCAATGAAATAATTGTAGAAGAGGAAATGATTAGAGCTCGGTGCTAGAAATCGGGAAGTGTAGACCCGACCGCTTGTCACATTTCAGTTTTCTGCATTCAGATCTTTACATCCCGGCTTTGGACAGCAGACTACAATGACCCTTGCAGTAGGCGTCCCCACTGGAAGGATGATGATAGTATTGTTTAGCTCACTTTGGATGTGTCAGGCTTTGTTTTTTTTTTTTATATATATTACAACTCTCATGAGTATGTGATTGTTGGAATCGCCTTCTCCTTGCAGTATGTGCGTTTGGATGATCGATACCTTTGGAAATGAGGAGCAGAGACATCGATTCTGCCCCCCGCTCTGCACTATGGATAAATTTGCATCCTACTGTCTGACCGAGCCAGGTGAGGCCTGAGAACTTGTCATATAATAGCAGCTGGGAAGGTTGTAATTGTAATGCATGTTATGGACTTGGTGCCATTCAGTCTGGGCCGGCCTTCCAACGCACCCTCATTGTGGTGTACTGCGCTGCTTACACTGGCACATGCACCTTTTATACACATTATGGTGCATTGGGGCGCCAGTGGGCTGTCATAACGTAATGCGTGACATAACGCACTGCGCAGGTGTAAATGGGTGCAAAGCAATGCAGAAGAAAGCATGCAAGTCAGTAATGGGGAAAAGATGATCTGCAGGGAGCCCCCGGGCAAAACTGGGGATAGTCCTCTGCATATCTTGAGCCAAGTCTTGCACAGTTGTACTGGCTCCTCTCCTGGACAGAAGTGGCTTCCTCTGATATCACTGCACACTGGGAGCTTCTCACAATGTGCAATAGAAGCTGGAGCCAGCCTCATTTCCTGGCTGGAGGACCTCCAGCATCATTTAGCTTTTTTTCTTCCCAGCCTGACTGTCCCGTCCCTTTTATACATTGTATTTTAGTACTTTCAGTCATGGAGTCTCAGCATCACATGTAAGCATTATGCTATTGCACTCTGCCTAGGAATTCCTACTCCTCCCGACTGATACCCAGCCATCATGGCAATTTCATATTTGCATAATCTTGCTTGTATCAGGGCTCTTGGGAAGAGTACTGAGTCAGGGCGCTGTGATGTTTTTAGGAAGCTATACACTGAGTGGCCAGATTATTATGACCACCCCATCAGTACTTCCTTGGGCCACGAGATGACTCCACGATATGACTTCGTTGGGCCGCCTCGTGACTCCACGAGATGATGAAAGGTGATGCGAGGAATCTGACACGGCACTCTTGCCCTTCTGTTGTCTTGTACCAGTCTTGCCGCTCTCCGTTCTGCCCTAACATTGACTAGTCGCTGACGGCCACAATTCGCACGTTCAGACCCAGATTTTCAGCTGACAGTCCGGTCTTTAAACACTTTAACAACAGCTGCTCTTGAACATTTAAGGAATTCTGCTGTTTTGCTGATACTCGCTCCATGGCTCCGAGCGCCAACAATCATCCCACGTTCAAAGGCTGTTACATCGCGTTCTTTCCCCGGTATCTTCAGAAACAAATAACTTCTACTGTCGTGGTAACCAACCTGCTTCCCTATTTATAATGGTCTGGCCCTCTAGCAACTTCAGCGCCA